GAGCTTTTGTTCAGAGGAGCGTTGCCAATTTTTTTCTCCAGGTGGGCTCCTGCACCTTTTAATGACAAGGAGCCGTCATCCAACTGACCTCCAAGGACGGATCCCAGGACAGGCAAGGGGTTCTTTCCATAGGGTGCGAACGCTGAACAGCAAAGAAACCTGACTGGGGGGGATTTTTTGTTTGAAAGGTGGTGCCGGAGGAACGCCTTGTGGGTGTGCTGGACAGACAGAAAGATGAACAAGAGGGGGTTCAAGCTTGAACTCTTTCTGGAGGCAAAAAGAAGGAAATCAAGGTTGTCCTACTTGGGTTGCATCATGAGAAGGGAGGATTTGCTGGAAAAGACCACCAGGCTGTGAAAGGTGGAAGGCAGCAGGAAATGAGGAAGACCCAATGTGAGATGGACGGACTCCTTCAAAGAAACCACGATTTTTGAGGCTGCAATGGCTGAACAGGGCTGTAGAGGATGGTAGATATTCCAGATGGCTCATTCATAAGGCCTCCAGAAGTCCGAGGGGACTTAATGGCACATTGTAACCGCAACGAAACCTGTGCAAAATATATTTCCATTAAACATCTGTTTGCTGATCCACTTTGCAGGGAGGGCGCAGGCTGGAGTGTCAGAGGAAGGAGGGCCTGGGGGGCCTTCCAAAGCCGCTTAGCTGGTTTAAAGCTCTTTAAGCATCTCGAATTTAATTAAAACCCTTTTTTAAAAAAAGAGAAAAACCCCAAAACCCATCCACAAAGGGGGGGGGGCAGGAATTGACATCTTTGGTGTGCGAGGCATAAAGGAGCACACAACTGCCAAAAGTAAACATTAAAGAAATAAGGGTGCCAGAGAGATTTGGGACAGCAGGAGAAGAGGAAGATTGAATGTGAGCGGGATCGACCCCAAGGGAACCACGACTTTTGAGTTTTGCAAGAGCTGAGCAGGGCAGTGGAGGAATGGGGCCTTCTGGAGAGAGTGCCTTCCTGAATTAGTTTCGTTTGGCGGGGGGGGGGATCTTCCATCTCAACCTCAATTCATGTCTTTTGTATTTGCGTTTGTTTAGGGGTGCCACGTCGGTGGTCTACAGCTGCGAGGAGAAAGAGACCCAGGCACAGTACGCTGCCAAAATATTGCAGAAGACGGTGAGTAGAAGCCGCCATCTCCGGCTCCTATTTCGTTTCTGTTTTTTAAAAAGGTAAGGCGGCTTCGTTTCAGGAGAATCGCTGAGTCCAGAGTAAACGAAGGCTCTAGTCCTCATGGTGACTTCTGAATAATTGGCTCATTTTGGTGTGCCTCACTCTTTATGATCTTTCTCTTCTCTTTTTTTTCCACGCTGGCTCTCCAGATTGACAAGAAGATTGTCCGGACCGAAATCGGGGTTTTGCTCCGGCTTTCGCACCCCAACGTGGTAAGTAAGCCCAAATCTAAGTCATAAGATCCGGGGATAAATTCTGCCATGACTTGCTAGGGAGGAACATTAAGGTGCGAACTGGCGCTTTGGGTGACGAATAATCTTAATAATAATAATCTTAAAACAGGAGAGCAGGAAGGGGTCTCTCTAGAGATCATCCAGCCCAGCCCTGGTTAAGGTGGCCCAGCGGGAGATTCGAACTCTCCACCAGATGCCTCAACCCCTGAGCTGTCCAGCAGAATGAAACCCCCTCCAGGTTATGGTTCCATGTGGCTTATTCCCTGGTCTGATTCAATGGTTTTCCCTGCCAGAAGAATGAGAATTTTTTTTTTTTGAAAGATCCCATGTCTGGCAATCTTGTCTCTTGCAAGGCAACAATGTCCATCCTCAGCCTACTTAGTTCAATGTCGATGACAGCTGTCTTGCGCACGTTGTCTATTTCCTGCAGGTTGTCAGAAAAGCCAGGGGTCATTGGGTAGCCTTGCGTGGCTGTAATATCAAATGCCAAGCAGGATCGGGCCTTGAGTTAAAGGTAGAGCAAGTGGCAGCTTTCTGGGAGAGGTGAGACTGGAGGGGAGACTTTTCCCAATCTGCAATGATCCCTTGTTTCTTGTGCAAGTAGGTTATGATCCAGCTTAGTATGCATAGAGGCTAAGTTGTTCCAAATAAGCTTCAAAGATCTTGCTACTAGCAAACAGAGGTGAGCTAACGAGCAATTAGAATATTTGGTGTTGTCGGTCATTCCTGAATTAAACTCAGGGAGGCCTTGTCCTTGGGTTGATCAGCATTAACACAGTTGTTAGTTGATCTACTGGAGTCAGCTGCTTTTTGGAGTGGTGAATTAAAACCATCATTATCATCGTTATTATTTTCAAAATCTCAAAACAGTTATGAATTGGGATCTCGGTGGAATAAAAATCTCCTATTTTCGATTACTTGGGAAATGGAAGTAAGCCATCTGTGACCCTGGGGCGTTTAGAGACCCCCATGATATCTGGGCGTCTTCCTGCAGAGTTCCTTAGCCCTAGATGCAGCCTCAAGGGCAACACTACAAAATCAACAGGTTCGCGAGTTAAAGCAGTTTTTCCAATCCTCGAGTTAATCAGTGTCGAGCAATCTTTTCCTCACATCTTTTCCTGAAGAAAACCATCCAGGAACAAACAAGGGAAGCAGGCAGGGAGGGAAACAGAAGTCCAGAGAATCCAATAAATTACCAGGACAGATAACACCGAGAAGAAACAAACGGCGTGGGGGTAGTTTTCAGATGATAAACGGTTCGTAAATTGAAGATAGGCTATTTAGAACTCCTTTAACTCCTTTAAATTCTCCATGTGAGAAATATTTTGGAATCTGACCATCAGCCATTCTTACAACATGCCCAAGCCAACATAGATATCACTGTTTCAGTAAGGTATACATGCTAAAAATTCCAGCTCGATATAGAACTACTCTGTTTGGAACTTTGTATCTGGCCACCTTACTCAAGAATCCCCACCCCAGTCAGGTCAGCCGCAGGGTTAGGGTCCCGCTAAGAGTTCCTGAGCTCCATGAGAAGGTGGGGGGTGAACAGGATCTCTGGCAAGAGGAAAAGACTCTGCACATGTGCAGAGAGGCCGGGTGGTGGGAGGATTCAGGAGACATGGGTTCAAATTCCCTATCAGCCGGGGGGAAAAAGGCTCCACCTCAAGGCTTCTTGGAGGGGGGGAGGAAGTTAATGGCAATAATGAGATTAACAAGGTTTGACTCACAGGGTGTGCCTTTCTCCTCCTTCTCTCCTGTGGGGCTGCCTGGCCTCCTGCCCCCCTCCAGAGAGGAGACAAGGTGGAAATGGGAAAGCAGCTCACAATGAGGCCTAAAGAGAGATGAAAAAAGGGAGGATGATGCCTGAGGAAGAGGGAGAAGGAGGGACAGAAAGAGATCAAGAGGGATCTGAAAGGGGAAACCCTTGAAAGGGGGACCTGGAGATCTTCCAAACCCGGCTGGGGTGGGCTGGGTTGGCCCCGGAGGGAGAAAGTCACTGATCAATTTTGGAGGAATCCTTAAGGTGTTTCGGCTACAACCAGACACAGTGAAGAGGGCAGATGGCACTACAGGAAAAATTAACAAAGAAACTTCAGATAAAATCCCTTCCATCCCACTTCATTAATCTATTTAGTGAGGAAGGACTAAATATCTATTTCATCAGTAGCAAAGCTAATATTAGCCTCTGAGTCTCTTGCATTTGGGGGTGTTGTGAGTCAGATTGAAATGTGAACATTTTAAGGGCATGTTTCAAAGTTCTTATATCCCACATCTACAATGGGACAGAGAGCGGGGTGCGAGGAGGGAATAAGTAACGAGAATGGCTATTGCTTTGTATATGTACTGGACAATTGATTTTTAAAAAATAAATTCAAAACCTGCACTAGATCCCAACTCTCCAGTTGTGTGCAGCAGCAGAACAAAATTGAAAGTAGGGTCATGTTTTTGACTGTGACACAAGTGCTTTGGGCTGCCGACACACATGCTCAGGGCGCTTCTGTTGACCGAGGCATTTCGGTGGGGCAACCATCATCCTTCCCAGTCTCAGCCCAAAAGGCAACAGGATCCTTACCTGGAGAGACTTCGGTCCCAGAAATCTCCAGCAGGAGGTCCTCGCAGAGAGATCTCTAGTGTTGATCCAGAAGATCCCAGTCTTGTGGGAGGCAATATGGGGTCACCTCCTCAAAGGACACTGGAAGTGGGAAAGAGAAAAGACCACCCGGGTTTATCCTCCACCCCTTTCCAGGATGTGAAGAGAGACTTTCCTGCCCTCCGTCCCCCAAACACTCTCAGCTGGGACGGAGGAACTGGACGGCTCCGAGAGCCCTTGCCTGGATTGAACAGGTACGTCATGGGTATGAAGGAATGAATGTGTTGATTTCAGAGATTTCTTTATAGATAGCTTATTTTCATGCTACTACCCTAAGGGGTTTCCAAGAAGGAGTGGCCCTAACCCCCCCAAGACCAACTTTTGCCCCACAAAGAGGCCAAACAGGGCACTGGAAGCAAAACAAAGGGTGAAAAAAAAACCTTTCTTTTTTTCAAATTTTTTAAAAAACTTTTTTAAAATGCCCCTCTTCTCCCCCCCAAAAGAAATCCAAAAGGCCCCATGGCCAAGCGTGGGAGGGGGGAAATCCTGTGGTGTGGGGGGGTCACCCGGAGAATCAGTCGGGGGAGGAAGAAAAGGGGGAGGTGCAGGGAAGAAGGAGGGGGAGAGAATGAAGGGGGGAAGAGACCCAGTCACCTCCTCAGTTGACTCAGGTCAAGAGGAGAAAGAATCTCAAGAAGGAATTACCTCAGAGAGGGGAATGGAGACTTCAAGGGGGGAAGACTCTATAGAATTTCAAAAATGGAAATTAGAGAAAGCACGGGAACAGGAATACAGGCTAAGACAGCTAGAAATTCAGGCTAGAGCTGAGGAGAGACAGCGGGATTTAGAGCTAGAAAAGGAAAAGATGGCCATGGAGAGACGGAAAAATTGGAATTGGAGAAGGAAAAGATTGCCCTGGAGAAGGAGGGATGTCATTTGAAATTAAGAGGTTGGAGCCAACAGCTAAGGCTAATAACAATAATAATAATAATAGCCAGTCTAATTCTGAAGAGAGGCATCTGTCCAAGGTAGACCTTAAGAGATTCCCTGTGTTTAGAAAGGGCGATGATCCTGAATCTTTTATGATTATGTTTGAGCGTGCGTGTGAAGATTTTGAAGTGAGGGGATCTGAATGCATGATTGTGAAGAGCTCTCAGATTAGTGGTGGGTTAGCAGATATATACGCTAAAATGCCATTGGACTTAGTGAAAGATTTAGATGAATTTTAAAAGTTGGTTTTTACACGGTATGGCATCAATGCTGAGCATTTGAGACGAAAGTTCAGGGCACTGACGAAAAAACCTGAAGAATCCTACTCTCAATTGGGGGCAAACTTGATCAAATATCTTGATAAGTGGCTCCAACAGGAAGGAGTGGAGACTGTACAAGATATTAAGAATATCATGGGGCTAGAGCAGTTCTATTGACTTCTTCCTGGACAACTGAGGTACCTAGTGAGAGATAAAAAGCCCAAAGACATTCAGGAAGCTGGAGGGGTCGCTGATTTTATTTCACACATTTGAAACCCAAATTTTTCTGAGGTAAAAGTAGGGAGAAAAACCTGGGAGGACAGCAAAAAAGAGCCCAAGGTTTACTTCAAGAACCAGCAGGCAAGTGGAGGTCATTTTGTAGGCAATCCCACAGAACAGAACCAGCCAAAATACAAGCACTGGGAAGGGAAGGGAGATAAGACCCTTAGCCCAGAACATAGAAATTCACGATCATGTTTTGGTTGTGGATGGAATAGCCATTTAATTTCACAATGTGCCAAAGCCAGAGAAGGGGGTCAAAAGACCAATTAACCCAAGCCTAAATCAGTGTATTGTGTGCAGCAAAACAAAGTTACCTCAGAGA